TTTTTTTTTTTTTTTTTTTTCGTAGGAGAGGGAAATGCTTTATGCACTGGCCGGGGGCGCTAGTCTCTATACTACCTTCCCCGAGTGTGGGACTCCCACCGAAGCGTGCTGGGCTACCCACTAAAACCCAAACTCCCACCGCCCGCGCAAGAATCCCGCATCTGGCACCGCAATTCTGCATGTCTTCAGATGCAGGAGCGCGCTGTTAGAGCCTTGGGGCTGCTCTTTTGTAGGGGCGTTTCATTCGGGTGTCCTCAGTAGACAACCGTCCTCTCGTTTGCAGCGGAGTACGAATTTCACGTATCTCGCAACTGCTTCGCACTTTTCTGCGCTGGAAATCATTATCCCAACTATGTTGTCCGGAGTAATGTCTCCGTGTCTTTCTTCCAACATTCTGCGCGAAATCAAGAAGTGTTCGCAGGTGAAGAATGTGTGGTACACGTTATCTTCGACGTTTCCACAGTAGTGACAGAACGGTGAGTCCACCCTTCCCATTCTATGAAGATATTCTCGGAAGTAACCATGACCGGTGAGGAATTGCGTCAGGTAGAAATCGACTTCCCCATGTGGTCTGTTCAGCCATGTTTGAAGGTCGGCTATCAGGGAGTGTGTCCATCGACCTTTTGTGCTCGCGTTCCAGTTTTGTTGCCACTGCTGGATCAGTTGCTCGCGCGCCCTTGCCGCGGCAGCTGCTCGACCTATCTCGGCACTGAGATTGTAAATCTCTTTTCGCTCGTAAGCAAGTAGCTCAATTGGCATGACGCCAGAAATAACTAGAACCGCGTCCGCGGACACTGTACGGTATGCAGAAGCAATGCGTAGTGCCCCTCTGCGCTGTACCGAAGACATTTGAACCCGGTATTTTTTGACTTTCAATGCGTCAGCCCATATTTCTGCCCCGTACAGGAGCACCGATTGGACCGCTGTCATCAGAAGCTTCCTGCGGCATGGCTTCGGGCCGCCCACGTTTGCCATCAGCCGGCTTAGAGCCGCCGTGCTCTGCGCAGCTTTTTCACATACTCCATGGATGTGTTCCCAGAATGTGAGTTTGCTGTC